CTGGGAGTGGTGGAGGAATCATTGGGCAAAATTACCTTGGGCGTATTTCGATTGGTCAGAGGATTTTATTCTCACAGGTATCCCGGCCGAACAGAACAAGAACGACAAGGCTGCGTGCTATGTAGCTCAAGTATTTAGAGCTTTTTTTTTTTTTTTTTTTAATGAATTTAGAGCTATTTTATTGACAACCATATGGTATCAAAGGAATTATCTCACCTTTCGTCAGGAACAGTGTGATGAAGTCCAGCTTAAACAAAATATAAGGTCATTGTGCAGACAGTGTATCTGGTCGGACGGGTACCGAAAGGCTAAGGGGTGGCTCGGTCAAGAAAGGCACAAGGCGGTTTTGGAAAACGTGGGGCAAAAATTCCAGCCTGGTAAAGCCCGGTCTAAAAGGAGGTTTGATTCTTTCATTATGGCTGATTCAGAAGCCGTCTTAGGCTGTCGTGTGAAAACTGGATTCGGCGTCTCCAGTTGCCTGTGTGTTGGAGTTGGTGTGTTGGGTCGTGTTAGACCAAGGTTACAGATACTGGTTAACTTGTAAGGGCGATAGCCTATTGATAGTGGTTAACGCGGAGTCGCTGGCCAGGGATCCGGCAGAACTCTCGACTCAAGAGAATTGGGCTAGCCCTTTTCCCCTTTTGGTGCTTCAAGTTTATTTTGGAAAGTGATTTGGATGAGACGCTGGGCCCGGTTCCCAGCAGTCGTTTTGAAGGTCAGTAGTGGATGCTTGATGGTCCGAGCAGCAATGCTCGTAAGCAAAACTGGCTGAGGCTGCCAGGATAACACCGGGTAGAAATGTGAGGTTCCCGGCCTCGATCTATCAGTTTTGTAATAAATTCCCACTTTTCAAAAAAAAAAAAAAAAAAAAGAATAAACATAAATAAGCCCCTCGTTGGCACCTCAGGGGAGAATCTTCATTAAACCACCAGTACCTCGCTCAGCTATCAAGTCCGAGCCTCGGCCGACCGGTACGCCTATCCGTGCCGAGGCTCGGACTACCGGGCGCAGGCATCCCGAACGTCCATGTGAGACAGACGAAAAAAACGGGAAGAAGACAAAGAAAAAAACAAAGAAATAAGAAAAATAAATGGTTCATTCCCGCTGCCTGCTGTAGGAAGGCTTCCGAAAGGCAAAGCGGGAATGAATCTTCCCACTTTCGCTGGAAGATTCATTCCCGCTTTGCGATTTGAAAGTCGCAGAGAGAGAGAGAGAGAGAGAGAGAGAGAGAGAGGAGG